CCTGTGCAGGCCAGCACTTGGCTTGCGCTGAGTTTCTCCTGAATTCTGGCCTGAAGGATTCCGAAGATACAACGGGCACCCTGGCTTGGCAGCTTGCAAAGAAAGCAGATTCCCTTGGGGCTTCAACCATAGCCCCAAGACATGAGAATGATCCTACAAGGAAACAATGAAGTGTGTGGTAATTCATGTCCTGCTGCTTACGTCACTCCTAGATTCAGTGGAATTATTCAGTGTGCAGCATATGCATGCATATAATATATACACTTTTATAAATATATGTATGTGTGTTACAGTATTGTATGGTAAATGATGAAGATGTTAAAAATATAAATTGCTCTTAACTTGAGCTGTAAAATATAGTTGGTCTGTTTAATTTTTTCTTTCATGTTCTTTTAACTTCTCCATTTCAGTGGTCCACTTCTGGCTTCATAGCCAGGAGGGAAATTTTTATTACCTGTTTCCATACAAATGTACAAGGAATTAATGAAAACATTTTTAATTAAGCTACAGAGTTTTAATCTTTAGAGTAGTTTGTTGTTGGGTCTTTTTTTTTTAATTTATGTATTTGGTACAGGGTCTCACTAGCAGCTTAGACTCATAGTGCTCCTCCTGGTTTCAACCTCCCCAGTGCTGGGATTACAGGCATGTACCACCACACCCAGTCTTGGTTGCTAGCTCAGTATGCCCCAGGGATGGGGCCGGCACAGCATGTAGTGCGAGAGATTGAACCCTGGTCCCTGCACTTGCCAAAGCAGGCGCTTAGTCCCCAGAGCTATCTCATCAGCCCTATTGTTGGTTCTTTTAATAGACAGATTCTATATTGGCCCTCTTTTGGTATTAACACTTAGAAAATGCAGCTGAGATGTTTCCAACACCTTTCCATTTTCCTAAATTGAAGAGCAAGATTCTGTTCTTATCTCACAGGTTAATGTTTCTTGTCTTCTCCCATTTTACCCAGTAAAAGCTTTTTAACAATTGAGGAATGAAACACATTAACACTTTTGTGCCTTTTCTTTTTTTTTTTTTTTTTTTTTTTTTTTTTTTTTTTTGAGACAGGGTCTCATTCTGTAATTCAGGCCTGCCTTGAACTAACAGTGAGCCTCTTGCCTCAGCCTCTTGATTGATGGGATTATAGACCACTATGCCTGGAGGACTCACAAATAATGTTGTCTTTTAAACAGAATGAGTGCTCAAGCATTGAGATTCTCTTACTGTTTTTTTTTTTTTATCATTTTCTTTTTCTGTTTTGAACCATTTTCTCTGTGTTGCAAAGCATGATTATCACTCCAAATCAGGCTTTTGTAAGTCAGTCTTTTTGGTGTGTATCAGTCTAAGCAAGATTTGATCTTCTTGTTCAGTATAATCCGGCTAATTCTCCTCACACACCCACCTTTTTCTCAGCTTGCCTTGGTAAGTAGCAAGAATTCCAGTTCCCCTTAATTATTCCCGGATAGCGTTGGCAGATTCCTATCTCTAACCACCAAATAAATATGCCAATAGAAACCCAATCCTGTCTTGTGACCATTAATCACACTCTGCGTCTATAGTGCTGATCCCAGATGCCGTGCTGGTGCACCTGCTGCTGAAGAGGTATCTTTGCACCAGTGCCTCTTCAGTTCTGTTGTGTGGACATCCCATGGGCCTTCCTTTCCCTCAGCACACATATGAAGCAGTGTCTTATTTGCAGCTTCTTCATACATGATTAGTTGCCACAAGTCTCTTAGCTTGTGCCCTTGAAACGAACGAGTGATTGCTAATGTCACATTACAATTTTGTTTCCCCATAACAAATTCATATGCTTTCCTGGCATAAACCTTAACTAACTCCCAGCACTGAGAAGGCTGAGCAGGAGGATCTTTGGAAGTTTAAGATCAGTCTGGAGTTCGATCGATCGGTAGCGGGAGCGGAGAGCGGACCCCAGAGAGCCCTGAGCAGCCCCACCGCCGCCGCGGGCCTAGTTACCATCACACACAGGGAGGAGCCGCAGCTGCCGCAGCCGGCCCCA